TATTATCGCAAATAGGAAGAGTTGGAATTTCGTGAAAAAAATAATAAATATAACTCTTCCAATTACAAATTTATTATTTTTTCACGAATTACAAATTTATTACTTTTTCACGAAATTACAACTCTTTCTATTTGTGATATAAATTACTCTCATTGATTATTCTAACTAGAAAAACTGGTTATGCACTTTATTTATATATATATATAAAGATTTTATAACTTAAAAGTTATTTTTTATATTTTAAAATTTTATTTTAAATTTATTTATAAAATATATGTGAATATAATTTTTTTAAAAGATCTATCTTTAAAATATTTTTATTTATTTTTATTTAAAAACATTATTATTAATTTTAAAAAATATCACTTTAATAATAATTTTAGACTTAATAATTTGTTAAGTAGGTGACACATATACATACTCACACATATATTAATCAAATATAAAGTTTACATATATATTAGGAAGAAAGAAAAAATAAATAAAACTAAAGTTTAGAGGTAGTAGCATCATTGTCTGCCTTTCCCTTGACTTGACTCCGGACCACAGGATTTTATTACAAGTTTGAATTTTTAGTTTAACTACTTTAATTAATTAAGCTCAAACAAAAATACTACATTAAATTTTATTGACAATATGATTTTAAATGATCAATAAATTATATTATGTTCACTCGTGTTAAAAAATAAGTTTTATTAAAGTGATTTTTTTTCTTTCTATTATGATGATATGATATCTCTTCATTTATGGGTTATTTAAATAATCTTGAATCATAACAACTTAAATCTAAAGTTAATTTTCTTTAATATATTTGTTTTATTGGGAAAAAAATAATCAAAAGAAGTGGATGGTGAACAAGATTTCCTGGGTTCATCATTATCCTTGTTTGTGTCGACAATTGAAAACTCTTTAGAAGGAGCATGAAATTGTTGAATATTTGAGTGGCTTTTGTGTCGGATTAGACTTCAACTCAGCTTGGAGACATTCATCCCGTACAATATTAATTCATATGTATCATCTTAGATGTTTTGTTTAAATGATAAATGAAGAGAGAGATTGTACAAAAAAGAAAAGAAAATCAATTAATTTTTCTTTTTTATTTGATCAAATGATAAAAAGAAAATTGAGATAAAAGAAGTACAATTACATTAAATGAGTAAATGGTTTTTATATTATCTTAAAATAAAGTTCAGCGAGACAAATTTATGAATAAGTTCATCATTTTAGCAAATTTTATTCTTTTTTGTCTATCTAAAAAGAAAGAAAAAAAAAACGAGTCTCATTTTTTAATTTTGCTTTCAATTAAATAATACAAAATATACATTTTCTTTTACCTAATTTCTTTCCACCGACTTTTAGCTTTCATTAAACACAGCTTACATTGGATCGAGCTCGATTTGCTTGGTTTCATATTATGTATTTATATAAATATTATTTTTAATTTTTTTATTAATTAAGTTAATCATATTACTAAGATTACTGATATTAAGGATGTCCAATTTAGTTTGTTGAGTATAGTGTGTAGATTTTCGTAGTACTATAATATTCAATTTCTACAAATAAAAAAAATGAGTTTAGATCTCTTAACGTGTGTTTGGATGAGGTGTAACAACTTTATTTTTAGACTATTCATCTTATTTTTTTAATTGTAAGTAATTGTGATTGATTTTACTTTGATTGATTATAATCATTATTTTTGGTGTACTCTTTGGAGACTCTTGCAGTGCGCCTAGTCAGATTTTTAATGATCAATTACGAGTTTGTCTTCGAGTTATTTATACTCACCCAGTCAGATTTTTACCGATCAATCACGAGTTTGTCTTTGAGTTATTTATACTCGCCCAGTCAGATTTTTACCGATCAATCACGATTTTGTCTTCGAGTTATTTATACTCGCCCAGTCAGATTTTTATCGATCAATCACGAGTTTGTCTTCGAGTTATTTATACTCACCCAGTCGGATTTTTACCAATCAATCATGAGTTTGGTGCCTTTAAAATAACACATGTCAATGATCATGGAAGAATAGTAGAGGATGATATTTATTGAGATGGAAAATTATTGGTTAATGGTGCCTCGTTAAAAACCTTCTCAGCAAAAAACCCTTCACATTCTTATGGGGAATAAAAATACTGAGCTAGGAAAAGAGTGCACCTAATACAAATGAACAGATTAACTATAATAGAAACGTAAGTTTGCAGCATTCCAAGTCCTCGGTATCTTCCCACCATCAAGCGTCTTCAATCGGTAAGCTCCCTTGCCGACTACCTCATCAATGCGGTAAGGGCCGACCCATTTAGGAGACAGCTTATTTCTAAGTTGGGTTAGCTGAGCACGCTTTAAGATGAGGTCTCCTTCAACGAAGCTTCGTGGGACAACCTTTGAGTTATACTTGAATGCCGCTTGTCGCTGCGTCACTACCTGGTTTATTCTAGCTTTGTCTCTTGTTTCGGCAATCAGGTCAAGGTCAACTCGTCTTCCTTGGTCGGACTCCTCCTTAGTGAAATATGTTGTGCGCATAGATGGTTCTTTGATCTCAACTGGTATCATAGCGTCTGTCCTATACACTAAGTTAAATGGGGTGTCTTGGGTGGATGAGTGGACAATCGTGTGATACGACCATAATACTCTGGGGAGTTCATCCACCCATGACAAGCCTGAATTCTCAACCCGCTTTTTGATTCTTGAAAGTATCACCTTGTTTGTCGATTCTGCTTTCCCATTGGACTGTGGATGCTCCACAGACGTGAACATCATCTGGATTCTGATCTCTTTACAAAAATTCTAAACCCTTTCACTAGTGAATTGCATTCCGTTGTCCGATACCAGAACCTGCGGGACACCATACCGACATATGATGTTTTTCCACAAGAAAGTTCTCACCTTTTCTGCCGAGATGGTTGCCACTGGTTCTGCTTTTATCCATTTGCTAAAATAATCTACCGCCACGATCAAGAACTTTAATTGGCGTACAACTATCGAAAAGGGGCCTAAAATGTCAATACCCCACTTATTGAAAGGCCATGGAGATATGAGTGAGTGAAGTCTTTCGGCAGGTGAATGATGCTGGACTACGTGTCTTTGGCACTCATTGCATTTTCAGACCCAATTAACACAGTATTTTCTTAGGGTCAACCAAAAGTACCCTGCTCGGGTAACCTTGTACACAAGAGATCGGCCTCCGATGTGAAATTTCACAAATGTTTGAATTTCAAATTCTTTATAAATTATCCATCCAAACAAGGTATTTCACCTTAAAAATTTTGAAATTATTTAAATAAATAAATTACTCTATTTAAATTCTCCATCCAAACATACTAAATAAAATTTTGATTTTGAGTTTTATAAATAGAGAAAAGTAATTTAAAAGAAAAATATTACTAAAAGTTATCCGTTTGTTTTTATTGTAAAAATTAGTTGTTTACAAAATAAGTATATATTTCGTACCTAATAAAAAAAATTATTTTTTTTTACTAGTTTATAGCTTAAAAAAAATATTTTTAGTTTACATGGAGTAAGTAATTTTAACATAAAGAAGGATTATAAAATTAAAGTAAATCATATTACTTCCTACGAGAGATGATAAAAGTACTAAAATTGGTTGGCTCATATATATATACCTTCTTTTTTTTTTTTTTATAAGTACACATCTTTTTTTTTTAAAATATATAAAATATTATAATTAAAAAAAAATTACACTTTTAACTTTCAATTTGCTATTTTCTTCTTCTTATTCACACACTTTTTTTTTTCTCTTTCAATTTTCACATGTTATTAAAATAGGTGGAGTAAAGGAAAAATAAGGAGGTGCATGTAAAAATTGGAAAAAGGAGGAAAAATATGTGAAAAAAAATACTAAATTAAATGTTGTGGATGTAAAATTAAAAAATTTAAAACAAAAAATTAAAAATATTTTAAAATTTTAATTATTTTTTTAAAAAGAGGTGTACTTATAGAAAAAAGGAGGTGTATATATCATGAACCAAATTGGTCCGATCCAGCCCATTAGGCAGCTTGTTGATTTTGCATGGGCGGCCCAAAACTCTTGTTTTCAAGCTTAAAAATATCATGTCAATTTGTCTTTGCTTATCTTATCGGATCATGGATTAGTAAAAATTAGGGAAAAAAGTTCCAAATTTATTTAATCTAATATATATTTTTATTTTAAATTACACGTAAATTTATTAAAAAATAAAGCCGTGATATAAAACGACTTCAAATTTATTTTTTTTAAAATGAAAAAAAAATCAATCATCATATTCTTAGTCATGACTTCTAATATTTCAATTAAAAAAATATAAATTGACAAGTTGTGTTCTACAAGTATCCAAAACTTACTCCCTTTTCAATTTTTTTTTTGAAAACTTGCCTATTTCCATAATTTTGAAAAAAGATTCCACCATCTGGGTGAGCAAGGCAAATATATAAACTCCTCTAAAAAATCAAGGTATTGCAATAATATAAAAACTATAACAAATATTATAAAAAAAAATCAGATCACATGCAATGAATGATAGGAGGTGTTAGGTCATTTTTCTACCAACCTCTTATTACTTTGTAAAATACCATAGATCAGGGGTAGTTGGGTCATTTTACTTCTTATTTTTGTCAAATTGCTTTTAGATTTTATGAAAAAAAAAAAAAACATTGGGAATAATCATAGATGACATGCAATGATAGAAGTCATTTTCTACGAACTGGCCTTGAGATTTTACTAGAAACTAGAAAATAGGGAACAATATCATATATCAGTATATCACATGTAATGGTAGCGATAGTTAGGTCATGTCTCTGACAACCTCTGATTGTCTTTACATTTTACCCAAAAGTAGGGGGAAAATCACATATAGCAAAAATTTTCTAATACCATTCAATCATTCGGACACTAAATATAAACTTTTTTCTATAAAAAAATTTGAGGTATTATAAAAAAAATAAAAATTAGAACAAGTATTCTAAAAAAAATAAAAAAATAAGAACCAAAATTGTATTTTAATTCACCCAAATTTAATTTGACTCGTGTGCAAGTCTAACTTTGTTGTGTGAAAGGATGATGTGGAACTGTGTTAGAGTAAAAGCTATGGCTATGCCTATGGCTATGGGTGTTCCTTCATGTTCATGGAGACCCACCATCACGTGCTGCTCTTCTTCAACCATCAACACTGAGCAACTACGTTCTCAACTTGATCACCTTCATGCAGAGGCTCAAGCCACCACAACTAAGGGTACCTCTCTCTCTCATACTCAATTTCATTCTCACTTACTTTCAATACCATTTTTTTTCCCTCATAAACGCCCATTACAGTCACTCCCATCAATATATAGGTTTTCATTTTTTACTCTTTCATTACAATTCTTACAAAAAAAAAAAAAGAAATTAAAATTGAACTGCAGACTAAAGGGTTCGTGAAGTAAAGATTCAGGATTGATGCATGAATTGAAATATTGTAAAGACTAAAGAGTGATTATAAATGTACACCCCCAAAATGTGGGTGTATTGAGATTGAACGAAGAAAAAGAAAAAATTAGATAGAGCATGCGAATATGATAGGATGAAAAAGCAAGAAATTGAGGTGGAGATGCGATGGAAGAGAAAGTGAGGGGATGATAACTGATAAGGGATTAGTATAAAACTAATTGTTTGTTGTGGTTAACAGCAACTAATGCGAGATTGAGGCTTCTACGATTGTCAGAGGCTGCAGAGAAGCTTCAAAAACAAGCGGCTATAAGCATTCAAAAGGGGGATGAAAATTATGCAAGGGAAATGCTTTTTCAGAGGAAGAAGGTGCTGCAGGCTTTAGACAAGTCTAAAAGACGCATTGAGTTGCTTGATGAGCTTTCCACGAAGCTAAGTGAGGTAAACTCAATTCGTTGTGAATTCATGAGTACTATTGTAGTATTATGTTCACAGTTATCATAATCACAATGATGTCATTGTTATCATGAATATCAATACATTGAGAGAGAACAGCTCTGTTATCTAAGTTATGAATTGTTCATCTCTTCTGCGTGTTAGTTTCTTAATGTAATGCATGGCCAATATGTTTGAGGGAGGGATTTATCTCAAGTATTTGTGCAAAAGTCGTTACTTATTTACAAGTAGAGAGGCATGAGCACCTGCAGAAGGGACTGTGTAGTCCTCTCAAGCTATTGTTTTCTTCTGTCTGCATATATCAATTTGTTCCCTGTGCTCATTTGAGGAGGATTCCCAATTCTCATCCGATTTGTTTAAGTTATTTATATATAAAGTATTATTTTCTTATATAAAATTCATTATTATTACGTAGCAGATTTTTTGTCAACTGCCATAGGAAATTTGTGAAGGGAGGCCTTCTATGGCGGGACAATTGGCTGCAATGGCATGACTATATGGTGGAATTTTGGACTTTCACCATCCTCAGTGATAAAATTGTGTTAGCTATCAAAAATAAAAAAAATTACAATTTGTTATTTTCATATAACATGATCAAGGCACTTAGAAAAAAATCCTTCTGTACACCCTTTAAAAATTTGTTTTAGAATTGGTTGTATATAGAACCATTTGAAATCAAAGAATTGCAACCAACATCTTTTATAGAAAGTGATGATGAAAACTGGGTTACTTCTTGAAATCATTGAGATATCAGTGTCTTGGAAGACAATTGATGGATGAGGTCGGATTAACTTCAATATTGCAACAAACTAAACTGCTTTTGAATTTACTTGTCACAAATTATTTGAAAGGCATCAATTTTCCTTGTTTTTGCTTGGTCTGGAAATGAAGAGTTCCATAGGCAAACCCCAACATAATGGTCTATATAGCTCTCCTTGGCTTGTATAGATTTATATAGTTTGTACAATGGCATTTATTAACCAGTTCTAAATACATAAAAGCATACGCTGCTTACATTAGATAATTGGGTTTTGCTACAAAACTCATAAGTTGAAAAACTATGTACTAGGATTTCATATATCCCCATTAGGCAATTATGATTTTTAGACTCATATAACCTTTATGTAAGTGAAATTTATATAAAAAAAATAAAATTAATGCTTACCAGCAATGATGGTCTCAAATTTTCTATCTTAAATCTGTATTTGGGTGTTTTACTCACTGATGGGCATAACTATACCTATCAACCCTGACTGTTAATGTTGAATATCTCATGTATTTTAAATGATTTTTTTTGGTTTGTGTCTATGTATAATGTTTATTCTCTCTCTCTCCCTCTCTCTCTCTCTCTTTTTCGTTGTCTCTCCCACTCTGTATGCAACTCTTTCTTTAGTTAAATTGTTCATATTTTATTAACTGTATAATGAAAGAAACCTATTGTGGTTTCAGGCAATATCTTTGAAAGAAAGTCAGCTAATTGGAAATATTAATGTGAGCATTGAAGACACAACAGAAAATGCTTCAAGTCCAGTTCGAATTATTGCTCCAAAGGAGGAAGTTCAAAAATATTTTACTAAGGACAACTCGGATCCTTATATGATGAAATTCAGCGATATTCAAGATGTGCAACTTTCTATTGAAAGTGAAGGTAATCCTGTGGAGGATAAGGAAACTCAGAATCTTCTAGAATCCCTTAGTATCGGCAGTTCAAATGAAGACAACATAGCCAGAAACTTGTCAGAAATATCCTCTTACGAGGATTTCATGGAACATATAGATCAAAAGCTCAGTGAAATTGAAGCTGAACTAGTTACTGTTTTGAATGTCTCTACCTTGGTACTGGATAATGAAGATAGACCAAATAATTCCAGGTTGCAACAAACAATTGAACTCCTTGAGAGCATCCATGGCATTAGACAGAGGTACAACACTTTGATTTATCAAAGCATAATTCTTATTGTCTCCTTTGAAGATTTAACTATAAAAATATTTTTACAATAGGTGCTCTCTAATGATTTTGAATTATTGTTATGAATATTCATATTAAGAGAAAATAATAAAGAAAAAGTAATGCAACACTTTTTCAAATTTCTGAACTCACAGAATTAAAAGTACCAAGGAGACAAAACTGAGGATATGATCAATTTCGTTTTGCTCAACTCGTCTATTGCTTCCAGGTGAGAACTAACTTCAGTCGTAAAAAAAATGTCTGCCACAATTTTCCTGTATTCCTTAATCACTTAATGTGGAAACAAGAAAGAACATTTGAGATGCTTATTATTATTTTATTAAAATGAGAAGAGGTGTTGTTGTCTTGATTTATCACTATTCTTTCCAACCTGCAATCGTCTATTTGGTCATGGAGGAGCAGCAGATTGAGAAAATTGCCCAAGGACTAAGGATAGCCTAGTGAAGCTGCTTTTCCATCTCTTTAACTTGCATTTCAAAATTCTCTGACCTTATTCTGTCTAAAAATGAACGTAGTAGTGAAGTATTTTTGGAGGATTCCCTGAGATGGTTGTGTTAGGTAATGTAGCATCCTTAGAATTACCCTGCAGGTTACCGCCTAAAGTTCTTATTGTTGCCATTGTTCATCATGAGGAATTAGATATTGAAATTGAATCATGCATCTGCTTTGTATCAGGCAGGCTTACAGATGTGTGACTTTTTTTTTTTAGTTTTAAATCTTCTTCCATGATTCACATATTTTATATATTTGATTCGTGCAATACCATCAATTCCCGTTATGTGTTTGAGTTTACACAATCTATGCATACTTCATATGAAGATTAAGCATTCTTGCTACCTTATGATATCAGGAACTTCTGCAACTATGGATGAAATTATTCTGTTGATGGACTTGTGTAAATCGTGTTTACACTATAGCCATGATAAGTGTTTACAGTAAACTAACTTATTAATCAGTGTTCTTTTTTTCCCTCAGTATTATTGCTATTATTTTAGCTGCTTATTCTATTATGGTGATGTATGCTACAAACCTAAATTTGCGTACTCTAATTGTTATGAAAAACGTTGGCATCGTCACTACAAGTTTCAAACTAGTTGTTATAGAAAGACTTGTAACCAAAACAAAAGCAATTTGCATTAAATGCTTCGTGGAATGTTGAGAACGAAAAATGTATTCATAACTAGACTGCATAAATTTCTGTGGACTAATGTGCTAGTTATGCTAGCACCTTCAGCAGTTTTCTTGCATCTGAATGTCCCATGCTTGACGTTTTGAACGTATTAGTTTGAAGCAAGGCCTGTTCAATTCAGGCCTCCATGAATAAAAGGATTGAAATTTTATAAATCCCATTTACAAGAAGTTATCACAAATTCACTTGCTCACAAACCCACCACCTCCGAGATGTGGCGAGGCAGAAACATACGTAAAATTTATTCAGAATATAGTACCACAAGAATCCAAATTGTGTATTATTTTTACGTTGAAGTATGACATCACATCACGAAACCAATAGAACTAGCACTACAAAGTACGAATAATAATGGGCACCCGTGACATTATGCTTTTCAATTTTCAAGTATTGGTGCAAGTAAAGGCCAATGCTTCTATTCATTGAACATTCATATTTCATGCGTATGGGCAAGTGACAGCAAATGGTTGGTAATGATGTTCAATACACTTGTAACATCCAAGAGGATCAGGAAAATAATCATCCATTGTATAAAGGATGTAACTGCAGGCAAGGCCTGAACCCAGTGCTATTTCACCATTTTCTTTTCATAAAATATGGGAGTAGTCACCAGTCACCAGTTTGATCCCTTACGCGACACCTTTGGCTTTGACCAAAAAATCAAAAAGAATAAAGATGCGTTAACACTAAGGTTGACTTTTCGCCCTGATGATGATCAAGGTTTTAGTAGCAGAAACAGTCACTCCATTCATGGGATAAGATTGCAAGCATGAGACACTACACAATAGTGGTAGTCTCTTTCGTATACTGCTGTGCCCTTTCAGTAGAGATGTTTGAACTAAACAGTTTCCATGAGGTCAGCAAGAGTAATCTTGCCATACATGCCATGTTCCAAGGAATCAAATTGTTTGCTTATCTGCAGAATGTCTATTTCACTAATCTTCCCCATTTGCTTAAGCTTGTATATGACAAAGTCAGACTTACTGCACCAAAGTAAAATGGTTAACAAAAATGAATGAAAGTAAAAGATCAACGAAAAATGAATAGAAGTAATATAACTCAGTAGTCTCTATTAAACTAAAAATTCCCGCATTGTCTCTGCATGCGGATAGAGGCCTATAGGCTACAGGCTTAACCAGATAATATGTTTTTGTTACATTTGCCTTCTCATTTTCTCAAATTTGCACTTCAATGTCTATTTTGGAACATATATTGTTCGAAGACATTGTAAACCAACCATAGTGGAGTCATGTCATTATGAATCCTGAGAACCCATACCCATTTGAACTGAGTTCATGTTCCTTCATCAGTCATTCAGCTACAGATAGTTCCTAAGCTCATTCTATTACTTAATAACGACTAAAGAGGGCGAAACCTTACGTAGAAGTGTAAAAAAATGAACTGAACTATCTGAATTATAAAAACTAAACTATCTTATCAAAAATTGAATTGAATTATTTGGTAACTAAACCAAACTGAATTATTTAGAAACTGAACTATTTTTTTAAAAAAAGCTAAAATTAAAAGTATAAAAAATGGTCCAACTCAGTAGGTCAATTTTTGAAAAAAAATGGTTCGAAAAAGAATTAGACTATTGGGCCTATATGGTATGGTCTAGTATTTTTTATTATTTTCCTTTTGTAAGTTTAAAATAAAAATTAAAAATAAAATAAAATAGGTCAAAACAGTTTAATTAAAAGCACTAATACAATTCAATTCAGAACACCAAACAATTCAATTCAGTTCAAATTTTTACGGTATAAGTAGTGAAACAAAAAATAGTTTAGTCTAATTTTTCTGAACTAAATTCGTCAAACTCTTTTTTTTGGTTCGGTGTAGTTTTTTATGAGTCCAATTCATTTTTTTTTCCACCCCTAAATATAAGGCCATAAAAGATATGGGAAAGAACATTTAAAAAAGTACAAATTTACAGGAGAGCGTTGGGACAAGAGTGAAGGATGCTGTTTATCCTGTTTTACCGCATGATAATTTCTTTTAGATTCTTTTTCATAGGGAATTTCTTCTAGATTTTAAATAAAACATCCCTTCGTCGAGGTGGAGGTAAACGACTAAATGGTATATGCACATCCCCGGTATATCAATATCAATCAATGTTGATCTGAGATGATGAGGGTCCTTTGATTTCTGTCCCCATTATGCTTTGATTGGTGATTTATAAAGCTAAAACAACTAGAAAATGTTCAAGGAACCAGATATAGTCAGGAGTTCCCTTTACTGATTTATCGTCAGACCTAATTTATCCTACAATTTCTTATTTTCAAAGTGACTGAAACAGGCTTTAGCTACGAAGTTTCTGTCTAATCTGCTTTTAATTTAGGGGTATACGAGTTATCACAGGTCGAGGTCGACCTGCACCAGCTTACACCCCCTACTTTTAATTAGGCCGTGACATCTTATAATTATAACTCTTTGGAACCAATGCACTGATTCTGCTGTAATTCATTTATTCAAGTGGTAAAAAGGTCATGGAAAGAGTTTATATGAGATTACAAACATTGAGGCATACCTGATTGATCCATCATTATCAAGGTCTGCAGCCGCTAAGTCTGATAAGGTTATCTTCTTCTGAAGAACCCATTTTGCCATCTTACGATTTCTCTTATGAATACTATATTCAGTGAGGTATATAAGTGCCCTGGCAACTACCAGTGTGCCTACCAAGAGCCATATAATTGCAAAGCATCTTCCGATAACAGTTCTGAAAGAATAATCCCCATAACCAACCGTTGTAACAGAAGTCATGGAAAGATAAATACTGTCAGCCCAATTCAGGTCCTCAGCATAATGCACTGTGACTGTTCCTATAGCAATGCAGCCAATGACAACAACCAAAGCCAGACATACTTTGGTTCTTATCCTCATTCTCCCTTTCTGTTCATCAACCATGTACGTGCTGAGGATGTTCTTGTATCGATTCTCATCCATCATGCTCAACAGGAATGCCTCTTGTGTATCACAAATGTATGCAACCAATCCATTGAGTAGAAAACCAATAAATCCAAAACCCACCAAAATGAAACCACATGTAAAGATCTTGGTAAACGTGGAGTCAGGAACAATATCTCCAAACCCAATAGTGCAGAGAGTTACCATTGTGAAGTACACAGCATCTACGGGCCTGAAAGTGGTAGTGCCTTTGAAACTCCCAGAAGTCATGTAAACTGCAACCCCAGTTGCCACATACAAGAAAACACCGATAAAAGATAGCCTAACTATTAAAGTTGATGATTTATATGGTTCAGAGGGCTCATGAAAATCTACCCCCATGTCAGTGAATAATACAGACGGAGCAGAGCGTGAGCGATGGATAATCTTCCCTTTCTTGAAGGACAAGTTGGCTATGAGGTTAATACAAGAACTCTTGGCTTCCTTGAGTGGTGGTCTGTTTGGTGAGTCTGCTTCTTCTTTCCTGGAGCAAGGGCTCAGGAGGTGCTCCTGCATGGTGCATTCAGATTGATGTATCACAGAATGATCGCAAGCTAGTATTGCAGCTTCTTTCAACTACTAGTCAAACCAAGAGAGAGGAATGGAGGTTACATGTATGTGCAGCTGAGAGTCATATGGCTTCTGTCAACTGAGTTCGTGCGAAGGTTGACAAATTTTGATTTTAATGTTTGATGTCTTTCCTTGCACAAACTTTATTCTAATAAGAAGAGTCTGCAAATATTTGTAATTAAACTTAAATTAACGGACTACTAATATTGAAGTGTCTCATATTATATACCCAACTAGAACAGAATCACTAAATTCCATACAGCTGCCATTAAATATTCCTATTTACCCCAACTACGTGGAACACGAACCCCTTGATTGTATGCCCCATCATTTGGAATCTAGGACTGAGCTATGGCAAGCTACAGTGGATCCTAATAGTGGAAAAAGTTAGTTACATCTACTTTTCCTTGCTGGTACTGATATTATAATGCAATAAGTGATTTGATTGATTAGATGAATCATGAATAAGGAGAGAAAAAAATGATTTCATATCTCTGTAAAGTAAATGTGCATGATATTATAATGATAAAACAGATTAGGTGTACAGGTAATACAGTATATTTCCTTCAGTGATAAAATCATTGTTAATATTAAAAAACGAAAAGGATAATTATAGATTCATTTGTAATCATTTTCATCTAACAACCAAAAAATTATTACCCAAAGATTTCAAGAGATAAATTATTTCTCGTCAAATCGACTAAGGAAAGTTTTGTTTTTGTTTTTGTTTTTTGTTTTTTGTTTTTTTTACAAAGACATAACATGATACATCATCCGTAGGAGTAAATCTTGAACCATGAAATAGCTATACAACAATCTAGAGACCGAACAACTTTGACATCATGAGACGATATTTTGCACCCTTTCGTTGCCTAACTGATGCAGTTCGAGGAACATCTTTGTGAGGCAGCGTTTTTCGTACTTGCGCATGACTTTCTGCTTCATGTTCAAACATCCTGACTAGCTCTTGAAGCTCTAGTTTTCTCAGTGCAACATTTTCTTCAATGATGGGTTTTTTCAGCCCAAGATAAAGCAATCCAATTCCAATTAGCACGACCCCTAGCACAAAGAGGGCCACGGAGAATAGAAGAAAGGCATAAGGATTTCCTGAAGATCCAGGTATTCCATCCACATTTATGCCAAATAGTCCGGTGATGATGGACAGAACAAGGCCACAACCCCCAAATATTCCCAGATTATGGGTAACTGCGAGGCTTCTGTCCTAAAATAAGTAGGAAGAGTGAGATTATTAGACATAATAAACTGATTAAACTCCCTTATTCTCTATCTATTTTCTATATTTCCTCAAGACTATAGCACTATATAGAGTTATACAATTTCATCAAGTATCATGTACATACTTCTAACTGTTATATACTACACATGTACGCACACACACACATCCTCCTAGTTTACTGCTACAAATTTTAGTCTGCATTATGAATGCTACAACGATATGAAAGACAATTATTAAGTAAATATGGTAAAAGAATTTCTTTTTAACTTGATTCAAAAAATTAGAGTTAATCCTTATTTTAGCCCTCCAAAGATAAAAAGGCCAACCCAAGTGCATTATCATTTTCCCCTAATTGGATACAAAATATCATGCACCAGTAATAATTAATGCCAAATCTTTTGCACGTTTATATAGCTACTTTATGAACTTATGTACATATTATAAATGAATTCAATGAAACATCTGTAACTTGCTAACTTATAGGTTAGCTAGTTCAATAGTCGGTAAAAATTACAGAAAACCTGCAACCATGCCCGGACTGTGCTTTGCATGACATCTTGGATTGTGAATAAGCGATCTCGAACAGCTTCTTGCTCCTCAATCATTTCCCTCGTACCATTCATTACTCCTTCCAGCAACGCTCTTGTTGCATTTCCTCTCAACTGTTGAAGAAGTTCAAAAACAATTTCCTCTCTTGCATGGAGTGCCCATTTCACTCTTATAACCTGTTAGGACATACAAGATAAAGATAGATGTGTTTTCGCACACAATTTATATAATTACTTATGTACCCCATTTTTTTTTACATAATCACTCATTTTTATATTGGTCAGCTTAAATGATTAGAGCAGTGCAATCAATGAAGCTGTGTGATATGTAAGTATCGCTCTCTACAGCATTTCTTATTTTTATTTAACAAGGTACATATGCTGACAAGGGAAGTAACAAATTTTTAAAATACATTTCAAATAAAAGAAACAATATTGAAAAGACACTGACATTGAGAGATGAAGAAACAGACAATCTAACCTTCAAACTTCAAAAAATAATTGGGGATTAACTGCTGACTTAATAAGAATATAATAATACTAATTTGAGCATTTTTCTGGGCTATACTTCTAGTCTACTATGGATTGAAGTTAAAACACCCTCCTCGCCAGCCTAGGAAGCACTAACACACAACAGAGGTGTTGGGGTGTCCAACACTCCTCCAACACTGACACACCATAGGCACGTGTCAGACACATTTTGCGTTTTTTTTTTTTTTTTTTTTTTTTTTTTTTTTTTTTCTCCTTTCGT